CTTACTTACCAATGCAACAACAGGCATAAAAAATCATATCATTTCTTAGCCACATTACTCTTTTCAACTCTCCCACCAGAAACTGCTTCTTGGAAAGAAAATTCAGAAATCAGAACTACTGTACTAGGAAAATATGAATGTTTGCTTTCTTAGCTTCCTACTTAATTCCTTCAAGCTATTGAGAGTATCTGAAACTTGGAGTACTGTCATTTCTCTAAACATCTACTCAGACAATTAAACTCATAAAGAAAACAACACAGAATTTTAGGCTAAAATAATATGTAATTGTTTACCTCTTAGCTGTGTTTGTTTTTGAAAAAATGTTAAAAGACCCTTTGGGTAATGTGTTTATATTACACTTTTATGGCTTGATTAATGCTTCAAAATTAACTTAACTTAAACCCTTTATTTTGTTCGTATTTAATAAGGAGTGTTATTCTTCCTGAATTTCTCATCATTGAAATGATTAAGATGCAACACATAAACTTAAGTTCAGTTACCTTTGCAAATCTATTACCAGTAAGTGGATTGTCCTCATATACATGTATAATATGTAATATCTGACACTAGTAAGATATTGTCTGTGTATTTATACAATACACACAGCTAGCCACTAACGGCTAATATATTTAAAATTATTCCAGTGAGGTAAATTATTTTTAACAAATTGTGAGTTTCAAGATATTACTTTTAGTGAGAAGTTACCTGTGCTAACCACAGTTGCAATGATATTGTAAATCATATCATCGAGGTATTTTTATTTGTATGTTTGTAGTAAATATATATATTCCTTGTGAGATCTTGGTACGGTACATAAAATGCCTTCATTGCTTTTAACTACTTTTTCTTCCTTCAATCCCTCTCCGATCCAGTGCTATGTCCTGTTCCTTTTATTTTTGTACACTTTTGCAGTGCATGACGTTTACGTCCCTTCTGTGGAGTCGTGCATGCGCATAACACAACTGAACTCATTGTTTCTATTTCCTTCCCATTTCTTCCCTCCTCTCCACCCTCCTCCCAGTGTATTTTGATCCCTTTGCCCTTTGAGAAAGATTTCTCTATTTCTTTTTAAGCTGTAAATTTCTAAAATATTTTGTTTAACAGATACCCATCATAGCATAATGTGATTGATTCTACTGCTGAACTCTATAGTATCCTTACCATTGTTTGCTTCTTTTTTGTATTAACATCCAACAAATGTTTCTTTGTTTATAAATTTTTATGAAAGTAAACAAAATTTCATAACAAAATAAGAGAATAATAATACTTTATGTACTGTTGCATTATCTTCAAAGTACATAATTTTAAGTAAAATAAGTCTGACATACAATATTATTTATCACATGGTTTCTAAGAAAAACAATTATATCATCATTACACAGTTGGATTATTCCTTTTTGGAAGCTGTATCGTCATTCTTGAAAATGATTACTTAGTTCACCTTTTGAACTTTCTCATTACATATTTTAACAAAATAAAAGTATTATTTTACCTGAAATTTTCACATACACAAATTAAACAAAAGTTAATGAAATCAAACAGATTCACACATATACACAAGACATTAAAGAGAAAAAGTTACTCTTCATCACTATTTACTTTCTAAATTACTAATACCTGCTACCTCACACCAAAGTTTTTTACAAGACTCAGTTTTATGCCTGAAGCAACTGACTATATCAGTAAATATTTGTTCAGATAAATACTAACAATGGCGTATTTACTCTATGAATGCTGATAGACTATAAAACCAATATAAAAGTTACACTATTTTTAATTTGTTCTGGGTACTCTTCAAATTTTACATTCATTGTCCGAATTATTTTATACATTAACATTACCAAATATTTGATAATATTATTTCTATTTCAAGTTTTAGAAGTTGAGGCTAAAAATGTTTATTTATTTGAAGAAATCAATTTCATCACATTTAATTCAGAGCCCATATCATTAATATCAGGCAAACTTGCACTTAGATCAGCCTTTAAAACAGTTAAGTTTTAACCTTAGTCTTTCTGCCTTTTAAACTGAATAATTTTCACACATAATGTGAATCACTATATGAAGAGTTATCCACTGATTTTGTACTGTATTTGTCATTAAGATCAATAACAGATTTATAGTTCTTTACGAACGTGGAAATTTCAGAATGTGAGCTGTTGTAAAAGTGAATGTTTCTTTGTAAGTCTTCCTTTGCAGTTCCTTTTCTTCCCTTTGACCAGTAGTCCAAATTTTAAGGAAGCTGCACCTAAATGATTAAAATTTTCACTACTACATAATCCTTCTTCATATTTACAGAACCCTGAACATCTGGTGACATTCAGATTACATAAGAATATTTAAAATAACACTTAACTTTATTAAAGATAACACGTTGGTCTAAAGAATTATAAGGGATAGCCATAGAGGATAAGATTGGATATGATATTCTGCCTGAAAAAAAAAAAACTGACATACCATGGATGACAAAGATGTTATTCAACAAATAGCATTCTAGCTCATTGTTATGCCACAAATCCTATAAAAACCTTCTGCCTTAAAAAGACGATGTTTCCCATAAAATCCTTTTCATATATCAGAGTTCCTCAAATGATCTTCTTGGGGAGAGTAAAAAACTCTTTCCCTATCTTTTCAGAGTACATTGATTTACTTCTCAACAAATTCACCTATTGAGTATTGGCTTTCAAATACCAAGCAGACAAGTTTGAGTCCAGGAATAAATCTGGTGAACCATCCAGGAATTGTACCCTCTAGTGGGTATAATGCTTTCAGTTTCCAGGGAATGGATTAATTGACCCTGGAAAGATGCCAGGGTTTACCAATTCATTCTGGCAGGAGAAGTGGTGATCATTTTTTAGAGCCATCTGCTTGAGGAAAATTGACCCAGAGCAGATGAACTTGGACCCAGTAATACTGAGGTTAGATTTTTATTTAGGCAGCTGAGGTAAAAAATGTTTTGTTGTATATTATATTGACACTTTTTTTTTTTTTTGCTATTCAAGGAGTTGAAAAATATGTACCAGAATGAAATTTGATATTCTGTATTTAACTTCATAAAGCCAAATCTAGTATATTCCTCTACATGCATGCCAAGAAATGACAACAGTGGGCATTGAACTCATGACCTTCACACTGAGATAAATCCCCGGCCCATTTAAATTTTTTTCTTTTTAAATTTGAGGCAATGAATCTTGGCAAGTCACCCTTGTTTCAGCTGGACTCATGCTTGTGACCCTCCTGCCTTAGCCTCCCAGTACTGGGATTTCAGGCACGTCCCACAATATATAGCTTCCTTTTTAATTTTTTTATGTTGAGATTGCATCTGGCTAAGTTCTTAAGATGTACCAACTGGACTATTCAAAGATCTTACAAAATTCTTCTGTTTTAAAACAAGTATAAAGTACCATAGATTTGATAAGTCAAAAACAATCCAAATTTATATTTCATTGTTTTGAATTCTGGAAAGTGAAAAATCGAGCTACAGACATATTTAGTATTCAGTAAGGGCCTGAGATTTTTTTTTTCAGCTTTAATTGAGTTTATTGGTACATTTTAGGGATACAGTACAGTTACATTCATTGTTGGGATCTTGTGCCTGCCTGAGATCTTGAACATAGATGACAACTTCTAATTGTGTCCTATGGTGGAAGAGACATGGTAGATTTCTAAGCTTTGCAGATATTTTGCAGTTCAAAATACCCTTCCAGAATAACCCTTCTTGACATAATTTTTGCTAACTAGCTAATTTAAGAAACTGCAAATATGGTAGTTGCTCTGAAAAGCTTCACTTTTACAAAGAACATTTAAATCTACAAAAGACAGAACCAAAAGAAGAGCTGCTGAAAAGCAGTTATTGTCATCCAAGAGAATTTTATCCACACAACAAGAAAATCTATTTTCATTACTCCTTTTTTACCTCCTCACCCTCCCATAACCTATCTCCTATAAAACCCAAATCTTTATTCCTTTCTGTAGTTTAGGATATTCTATAAGCTTAAATAATCTGCCTTCACTCACATCTCCATGTAGGCACACGCATAATTAAATATGCTTTCCCTCTTAATCTGTCAATATAATTCACAGCCCAATGAAACTATAAGGGTAGATTATAGCTCCTTCTTCTCCTCTACAACAGAAATAGAAACTATATCTGCATGAAGTAAACAGTGAGCACCTGTTACGCTTTTGCCTCTACTTGTAAATATTTTATATATGTAAAGATGCATGTATGTATATACATGTTTATACTGAAAGTCCCGGGCCTCATTGTTCCCGGAATAGCACTCACTGCTCTGAATTGCCCGCCAAAAAGTCCCGGGCTTTCGAAACCTCTTAACGGATCAGGGACTTTTCGGCGCCAAAATTCCCCTGTTAAACCCCTCCCCTGTATTCATGGCCCCGTATGAATTAACCAATCCGCAAATCTGCTTCTGTAAAGCCCGCTTTCCCGCTCTTCAAACTATATATAAGCAAGATCATCCTTGGCGGAGCGCTTCTCTTGTCTTCGGACATTAGAGACGCCCGTGGCCCACGCAATAAAACCTCTGCATCTTGCATCCGTAAGGTCTCGGCTGGTCATTGGGGGAAGGTGCGTCGAGTCGGACCTTACATTTGGGGGCTCGTCCGGGATCGACGAGACTTCCCCCCACGGACCCCGTCAACCGGAACGGGAGGTAAGCGGTCCACTAATATATGTTGTGTATTTGTTGTCCCGTTTTGAATTTGAAGAGAAACGGAGGGAGCTGACGGGCTCTTACCTCCGCCTCCATTCGGTCCTAGGAGACGTCCTACGGACATTTGGGAGAAATCACCCCAATTAAAGGTGAGATCTCGTTTGGGAGAAATCACCCCAATTAAGGGTGAGATCTCATTTGTGCTGTGAGCTATCTGGTTAATTGATAGCCCACGGCGTTAGTCTTGGAAATTTGTGGCGCCTATTTTGTTGTGAGTCCTTGTATATCGTCTGTCTGTCCATTGTGATTACTTGTTGATTATTGAATATGGGACAAACCTTGACCACTCCTTTGAGCCTCACTCTAGATCATTGGGCACAAGTGCGGGAGAGAGCGCATAATCTCTCCGTGGAGATTAACAAGAAGAAATGGAGAACTCTCTGCTCCTCAGAATGGCCTACCTTCGGAGTCTCTTGGCCGCCTGAAGGAACCTTTAACTCTCAGATTATTTTACAGGTGAAGCAGCGCGTCTTCAGCCCTGGACCCAATGGCCACCCCGATCAAGTGCCCTATGCAGTCACCTGGGAGTCGCTGGCCGTTGACCCCCCCCCTTGGATAAAGCCTTTTGTTCTCACGGTCACTAATCTGCCCCTCCCGGCTTCTTCTGCCATGGCCTTAATTTCCTCTCCTCCTCCTCTCACCCCTACTCCCGCTGTCCACCCCTCTCAGCCCCTGCCTTCTGCGCCACCCTCCCTGGATCCGACCCTGCAGAAGAATTCTCCAAAGACCCCTCCAGTGCTCCCACCGGACCCTAACTCGCCCCTCATTGATCTGCTATCGGAGGATCCTCCTCCATATGCTCAGCAGGGTTCTTCTGGAGGTCCTTCCAGGCCCCCGGCGATTCCTGCCCCGTCAGCTCCTCCCACATCCCCCGCGTCATCACCGGTGGCGGGAAGATTGAGGGGGAAACGAGAACCCTCTCCCCCTCCTGAGGCCGCCACCCGCCTTTTTCCACTAAGGGAGGGGCCAAACGGTCTCCAGTATTGGCCTTTCTCTGCTTCAGATCTCTATAACTGGAAACAGCATAACCCACCTTTTTCCAGAGATCCCACTGCCTTGACTAACTTAATTGAGTCCATTTTGGTCACTCATCAGCCCACTTGGGATGATTGCCAGCAATTATTGCAGGCGCTCCTCACCTCGGAGGAGCGACAAAGGGTTTACATTGAAGCCCGGAAGAATGTACCAGGCGAAGATGGACGGCCCATGCAGCTTCCCAACGAGATTGATGATGCCTTTCCCCTCACCCGACCGAATTGGGACCTTGCTACGCCGGCAGGTAGGACCCACCTACGTCTTTATCGCCAGTTGCTCATGACAGGTCTCCAGAAGGCTGCTAGAAAGCCTACCAATTTGGCCCAGGTTAAACAGGTAATGCAGAAATTAGACGAGTCACCCTCTGCTTTCTTAGAAAGACTCAAAGAGGCCTACCGAATTTACACTCCTTACGACCTGGAGGACCCTGGGCAAGCCACAGGGATTTCTATGTCCTTTATTTGGCAATCGAGCCCTGACATAAGAAACAAACTCCAGAGGCTAGAGGGGCTCCAAGGTTACACCCTAGCAGATCTGCTTAAGGAGGCTGAAAAGGTTTTCAATAAAAGGGAAACCCCAGAGGAGAAGGAAGAAAGATTATGGCGAAGGATGAAAGAGGATCAAGATGAGAGGGATAAAAAATTACAGGAGCAACAAGAGGCGAGAGACAAAAAGAAGAGCAAGGAATTAAGCAGATTGTTGGCTACTGTAGTGAGACCACAGGATAGTCAGCCAAGAGACCGGAAAGGCCCAATAATAGGCGCGAATCAATGCGCATATTGCAAGGAGGATGGACATTGGGCTAAAAATTGCCCTAAGCTCAAGAATAAGAAATCCAAGGCCCCAAAGGAGGCCCTCTCCTTGGAAGGATAGGGGCCTCAGGGCCAGGAGCCCCCCCCTGAGCCCAGGCTAACCTTGAATGTAGGGGGGCAACCTGTTACCTTCCTAGTAGATACGGGCGCACAGCATTCTGTCCTGACACACACCTCGGGACCCCTCAGCGAGCGCTCCGCCTGGGTTCAAGGAGCTACTGACAGTAAGAAGTACCAATGGACTACAGATCGCAAAGTGTGTCTCGCCACTGGTAAGGTGACTCACTCGTTCTTACATGTGCCAGACTGCCCCTATCCCCTACTAGGGAGAGACCTCCTCACCAAATTAAAGGCCCAAATTCACTTTGAAGAATCAGGCATATGCATTAAAGGACCAGATGGTAATACCTTACAGGTTTTAACCCTCCAATTGGAAGATGAATATAGACTCTTTGAATCCCCTGATTCCCCTTCAAAGGAAGAATTCGAGTCATGGCTGCAGAACTTTCCTTGGGCATGGGCCGAAACAGGGGGACTAGGACTGGCCATCAAGCAGCCGCCAGTCATAGTGCAATTAAAGGCTACGGCCAGCCCCATCTCCGTCAAGCAGTATCCCCTATCTCGGGAGGCCTACAAGGGGATAAGGCCTCACATAAGGAGGCTTCTAGACCAGGGAATCTTAACTACATGCCAGTCCCCATGGAACACCCCTCTGCTACCGGTCAAGAAGCCAGGTACCCAAGATTATAGGCCGGTCCAAGATCTCAGGGAAATCAACAAACGGGTGGAAGACATTCACCCCACGGTCCCTAACCCCTATAATCTGTTAAGTTCTTTGCCTCCAACTCATATTTGGTACACTGTATTGGATTTAAAGGATGCCTTCTTTTGTTTGCAATTGCACCCTGCGAGTCAGCCATTGTTTGCATTTGAATGGAAAGATCCTGAATATGGACTTTCTGGACAGTTAACTTGGACTAGGCTGCCTCAGGGGTTCAAAAACAGCCCCACCCTCTTTGACGAAGCCCTCCACCGAGACTTGGCCGAGTTTAGGACCCAACATCCTACGGTGGTCCTACTTCAGTATGTGGATGACCTCTTACTAGCGGCTACCACCAGAGAGGAGTGTTTAATCGGGACTAGGTCCCTCCTTGAAACTCTAGGTCAACTAGGATATAGAGCTTCTGCCAAGAAGGCCTAATTTGTAAGAAACAGGTGACTTACTTGGGATATAAATTAGAAAATGGACAAAGATGGCTTACCCCCGCTCGCCAACAAGCCATTCTGCAGATACCAGTTCCCCAAACTCACCGTCAGCTTAGGGAATTCTTAGGGACCGCCGGTTTCTGTCGACTCTGGATACCAGGATACGCGGAACTAGCAGCCCCGCTGTATCCCCTCACAAAGCAAGGGACACCTTTCCTATGGCAGGCTGAGCACCAGCAGGCCTTCAAGGAAATTAAGAGGGCCCTCCTTGAATCCCCGGCTCTTGGTCTGCCCGATATCACCAAGCCCTTTGACTTATTTGTGGCAGAAGCAAAAGGCTATGCCAAAGGGGTTCTAACCCAAAAATTAGGACCCTGGAGCAGGCCCATAGCCTATATGTCCAAGAAACTAGATCCGGTGGCATCGGGTTGGCCTCCCTGCCTAAGGATGATTGCAGCCGCTGCAGTCCTAGTTAAGGACACCAATAAATTGACTATGGGACAAGCCTTAACTCTATACACCCCACATTCTATAGAATCTTTGATCCACCAGCCGCCGGGTAGATGGCTTTCCAATGCTCGTCTGACTCATTATCAGGCTTTGCTTTTGGATACGGAGCGAATCTCTTTCGGCTCCCCTGTGAACCTTAACCCCGCCACACTGCTCCCCCTGCCGGAGGCAACAACGCCTCACGACTGTCTCCAGATTCTGGCAGAACTGCATGGAACACGGGAGGACCTGACCGACCAGCCCCTCCCAGATGCAGACCATGTTTGGTACACGGACGGTAGCAGTTTCCTTTTCAATGGGGAGTGACGAGCTGGAGCAGCCATCACCACCGAGACTGAGGTAATATGGGCCCAATCTCTGCCCCCCGGGACCTCAGCCCAGCGGGCCGAGCTGATAGCCCTGACACAAGCCTTAAAATTGGCGAAAGGAAAAAAACTGACTGTGTATACTGATAGCAGATATGCCTTCGCCACGGCTCACATACATGGGGAAATATATCGAAGGAGAGGACTACTAACCTCAGAAGGGAGAGTCATTAAAAATAAAGCCGAGATATTGGCTCTATTGGATGCTCTTTTCTTGCCATCGAAATTGAGCATTATTCATTGTCCGGGACATCAGAAAGGAGAGCACCCGGAGGCAAAGGGTAATCGACTGGCAGACCGCACAGCCAGAGACATAGCAGGCTCAAACCCAGAGGAGATTATCAATCTCCCCTTAGAGGAAACACCCTGCAAAGAGACCCAGCCAACCCCATCATTGCTTCCATACACTCAGGAAGATGTTTCAATGCTACGGAAGATGGGTGCCACATTAGATACCCAGCAAGGCTCTTGGTCCTTTCAAGGGAAAAAGGTCATGCCTTCAGCCTATACCCAAGAAATAATTGAAAGCCTCCACAGATTGACTCACTTAGGGACTAAAAAGATGAAGGCCCTCCTCGGCAAAGAGGAGGAAACCGTTTATTTCCTTGACAAAGAAAGGATTTTACAGGACACTGTTTCAGGGTGTGTGGCCTGAGCCCAAGTAAATGCAGGAAAAACCAAAATGAAAGTCGGTGTCCGCCCAAGAGGACATCGACCAGGGGCCCACTGGGAAGTTGACTTCACCGAAGTCCAACCAGGCTCATATGGGTACCGGTACCTACTGGTATTCATCGATACCTTCTCTGGTTGGATAGAGGCATTCCCAACCAGGAAAGAGACTGCCCATGTTGTCACAAAAAAGCTCTTAGAAGACATCATCCCCAGGTACGGAGTGCCTCTGGCATTAGGGTCTGACAACGGGCCTGCCTTTGTCTCTCAGGTAAGCCAAGGTGTAAGTAATTTCTTGGGGGCAAATTGGAAATTGCATTGTGCATATCGCCCCCAAAGCTCAGGACAAGTTGAGCGAGCTAACAGAACCATTAAGGAGACCTTAACTAAATTGTCACTCGCAACTGGCACTAAAGACTGGGTGCGTCTGCTCCCATTAGTACTTTATAGAATAAGGAATACCCCCAGAAAAACAGGATTAACCCCTTTCGAGATTTTATATGGATCTCCTCCCCCTCCGATCAATTTCTTTGGGGACCCTAAGAGCACCCTAAGTAATTGTCCCTCCTTAAAAGCCCATTTGCAGGCGCTGCATCTCGTACACTCTGAGATTTGGAAACCTTTGGCCGAGGCTTATGCTGAGCAGCGCATCAGACCCATAGCCCCTCATCCCTTCCAACCGGGAGATCTTGTCTGGATCCGCAGACACCAAGCCAAGAACTTGGAACCACCTTGGAAGGGTCCCCACACTGTCCTTCTCACCACGCCTACTGCTGTGAAGGTCGACGGGATAACTGCTTGGATCCACGCTTCCCACATCAAGGCAGCCACCTCTGAAGACCAAGTCGTCTCCTCCACATGGCGGGCCCATCGAACTCAAAATCCCCTAAAGATAAGACTATCTCGCTCTTAATTCTATTTGCATTTCCATTTGTGTTCCCTGCCCATTCCTGGCCCCTACCTGGCCAAGGGGGTTCCCCCCATGCCCTTTATAATATCACCTGGGTAATTCAAAACACCATGACAGGAGTCATCGCCAACTCCACTTCAAGTATAGCCCCTCTTTCTACCTGGTTCCCTGACCTGCTGGTAGATATCTGCGATCTCGTGTCATTAGAATGGGACCCCTCAGATCAGCAGCCCTTCCCCGGGTATGGTTGCCGCACGCCCGGAGCCTGCCGAGACACACGAAAGAGTTATTTTTATGTGTGTCCAGCACACTCCAGGACGCCCTCCCAGATTTATAAATGTGGGGGGCCTGAGTCTTTTTATTGTAAAGCCTGGGGTTGCGAGTCCACCGGATGGATGTCCTGGTCCCCGCCCGTGCGTGACGATCTCATCACGGTAACAAGATATGGAGATTATACCACACTAGGGACAGGATTTTGCCCAGGGAAAGGAGACTGTGGCCCCTGCCATTTGCCCCCCAAACATTTGGGTACCCCCAAGGGCCGCTGCAACATCCTCAAAATTCAGTTTACGGATAAAGGAAAACAAGACCCCTGGCCCGCCAGCAAGTCCTGGGGGCTTCGTTTGTATGTCACAGGACATCCTGGCCTTATATTTTCCATCCAGAGAATTATCTCACCAGTGGCCCCGAGTCCCCCGATAGGACCCAATAAAGTTCTAGCTGAGCAGAAACCCCCTACCCGCATTATGCAAGGGCCGACGCAACCATCACCTCCCCACTCTAATTTCTCTGCTCCCGCCTTCATTGCCAGTCCCCCCGGACCAAGTCTACTAACCCCAAACCCTTCTGGGACGGGAGACAGACTCTTGAACCTAGTAAAAGGCGCCTATCAAGCCTTAAATTCCTCAAACCCCAGTCGAGCTAAAGATTGTTGGTTATGTTTTAGCCCTAGCCCCCCCTATTATGAAGGTCTCGCTTATTCAGGGAATATATCCAATACCACCTCACTCCCTGCCGCCTGCACTCCCTCGGGCCCCCGATTGACAGTCACCCAAGTTTCGGGAAAGGGATTATGTATCTCCAGCACCCCCCACCACCTATTAGGCCCCAGGTGTAACTCCACCCAGTTAGTCCCCAGAGGCGCTTACTATCTCTCCCCTCCTGCCGGCTCATATTGGGCCTGCCAAACCGGCCTCACAGGGTGTTTGTCGGCTGAAGTCCTCCACCAACTCAATGATTCTTGTGTATTGATACAAATGGGGCCCAGACTCAGCTACCTCACCGATGATGATTTTTTATCCCGATATCTCAGCCCGACCCCTAGAGTTTGCAGAGAGCCAGTCACCCTCACTATAGCCGCCATATTGGGAATAGGAGGCATTACTGCTGGGGTGGCCACTGGGGCTACTGCCCTGGCTCGAACTGACAAGTACCTCTTGCTCCATAAGGCCATGAATGAAGATCTAGACTCAGCTACCTCACCGATGATGATTTTTTATCCCGATATCTCAGCCCGACCCCTAGAGTTTGCAGAGAGCCAGTCACCCTCACTATAGCCGCCATATTGGGAATAGGAGGCATTACTGCTGGGGTGGCCACTGGGGCTACTGCCCTGGCTCGAACTGACAAGTACCTCTTGCTCCATAAGGCCATGAATGAAGATCTTCAAGCTCTAGAACAGTCGGTACGGGCTTTGACCAAGTCTGTGTCATCCCTATCTGAGGTGGTCCTGCAGAATAGGAGAGGATTAGATCTCTTGTTTCTCAAAGAAGGTGGCCTTTGTGCTGCTTTAAAGGAAGAATGTTGTTTTTATGCAGATCAGACAGGCATCATTACGGAGACTTTAGATAAATTGAAGAAGAGGTTGCATGAACGAAAGTTAGAGTTTGAGTCCCATCAGTCTTGGTATGAAGGAATATGGAATCAATCCCCATGGTTTACTACCCTAGTCTCGGCCTTAATAGTCCCATTGGTGCGTCTCACTCTGATCCTAACATTCGGCCCCTGCATTATTTCGTCTGACATTGGCCAGACTAATAAAGGTTTATTTACCATCTAGCCTGTTGTGCTCCCTCCTGGGTTTTCCATTTCACAGTCAAGCTCCTGGAGCCTTGCTGGGTGTTAGGACCCAGCATGGTGGAGGTCTTTTTGGCTGTTCACGATCCTTTGAAAGTCCCAGGCCTCATTGTTCCCGGAATAGCACTCACTGCTCTGAATTGCCCGCCAAAAAGTCCCGGGCTTTCGAAACCTCTTAACGGATCAGGGACTTTTCGGCGCCAAAATTCCCCTGTTAAACCCCTCCCCTGTATTCATGGCCCCGTATGAATTAACCAATCCGCAAATCTGCTTCTGTAAAGCCCGCTTTCCCGCTCTTCAAACTATATATAAGCAAGATCATCCTTGGCGGAGCGCTTCTCTTGTCTTCGGACATTAGAGACGCCCGTGGCCCACGCAATAAAACCTCTGCATCTTGCATCCGTACGGTCTCGGCTGGTCATTGGGGGAAGGTGCGTCGAGTCGGACCTTACAATACACACATATATAGTAACATTTATGAGCAAACGTTTTAAAATCTATAGAATATAGTTACAATACCTATTCTTAATACATTTACAAATTATAGCATTTTTATTCTAGGGTATTTTTATTTTCGTGTTTCATCATTTTGCTTTAAGATTCTCTGATTTGTTGCATACTAGATAATCTTTAAATAGATGTGAAACACTGTGAATTTATCTTGAACATCGGCCACTTTTCTGTCTTAAGAACTTACTTTTGAGGTGGATTTAAGGAAGCTACATTGAAACAGTTTGACTGTTCCTCTTACTACTTTTATTATATTTTTAGGAAGGGTAAAAGTAGTCATAGTCTCACTCCATGACTTTTCTCTACTACTTAAATAAAACCTTCTTGAGTATTTTATCCACTGTCTCATGAATTATGACATTTTTCTAGCCTGGCTTATCGGCTGGGTTTGAGCTCTGGGCACTGTTGTTCTAAAGGATTTCAAGAATAGTTCACAAAATATTGGGAATAAACGGTAAGAGAACACAATCTATGTTTTAACAATTGTAACAAAATAACATAGGTAAGTCATTTCCAGAAGACATGGCCACAGGCAGCTATCAATGACCTTCTCTTTTGTCTTTTATATAGTCAACTTTAGCCTTGACTCTGGATTCCTGCTGGGATGCAACATGTTGGCAATTCTACCCCCTGCATCCAAACTCAAGGGAAACAACACAAGCTTTCAATAGGCTAATCAAAGCTACTTCCATGCTCTCTAGGAGGGCAAATTAAATTCGATTATTTTCATTGCTCAAATGCAAATCCTATGGCACTAAAAATTCAAGATACACAATTCTTAGGTTGTATTGTCATCATTTTAATATGCACTTGAAGGAAAACCCACACAGTAATTTGAAATTAACACATAATTATAGAGAACTGTATCATTAAATTTTTGAGAGGTGTTATTAAGCAAAAAAAAAACAGTCCTCGATAACTATAGATAACTTTTTAGCTTTCAAAGTTCAATGTGCTATTTTAAATAGAATTTGTAAACCTATAGAGAGGGAGATCAATGAATAAACACATTTTAAAGGAAACTATTATTTTATGCATGTTTTTAGCATTCAACTAAGGCCCCTTCATCCATGTAATATAAGGCTAACATGTTAAATCACAGATCTCAAATTGCAATTCATTACAATTACACTTTATAGAATCTTTATTCTAAAAGTAGAATCCTACTGAATAAGATCATTGACACATGCATACAAATGTAGTATATAATTCATAGATGAATAGGGAACAGCACATTCTAAGATTTTGTTTTCAATAGCCCCTTCATAAAAAAGCAGAGTCACTTGTATGAATTACATTCATATGCAGTAAATGCAGAGTCTTTCAAAAAGCATATGGCTGCAATATAAACACAGCTGTTAACAGCTTTCTTGGTATAGGAAAAACTACCTATTTGGTAAGAGAAAAATTCTAAGATTTCCTAAATTTAATTACAGAGCAGAGAATGCAGAATAAGGAAAATAAGAGAAACTATCCTCCACAACAGCTTTGGGCCAAATCAGTAACCAAAACAAGAGCAACAAGAAGTAACTGCTTGTATCAGGGTTCACTAGGAGAAGATTTACAAAGGCAGTCTGCATAGTGAGGTGTGGGAGAATACAAAGGGCCTTATGCAGGCTAGACAGCCCAAAGATCCAGTCAAAAGCCAAGGCCTGGAGCTCCCTTCAGAGTCCTGTGTGACTCCATATCACGGCCAATGGCCCTCTGTTGAAAGGCCGAAGAGTCTTCCCTAGAAGCCTGGAGATGTATGTCATTGATGGTGAAGACTGGAGCTCTTCTGAAAGAAGCAGAAGTGAGAGTTCTTCTTTGCCTTTTTATTCCAATCCAGGTAGGAGCCTATTTGTTGGAGCCACTGACACCTGTGGTGGCTTTTCCATTCTCAGTGTCAATCCTTCAAACACACCCAGAACTGTACTAAACCAATCTGCTGGTCATTTCTTATCCAACCGACACCACAATTAGCTATCAGATCATTGTACCTTCTAAATGCTCATATTACTGACTCAAAGCTCCAGAGGACAATCACTAGACACCACTGCAGTCTGCTTACAATACTAACCAATTAAGAAGCAAAAACTACTTTCCTTATAGATTACTCTTCTATCCAAACTTTGCCTGTTTCCCACTGTCTATTGCTTTTAAGTGTAGCAGTGTAGGTAATGGTATTTTCTTTATCTAAGTTTGTAAAATTGCTCATAACTCTTGTCAGATAGATGTTTTCTACTTTACTATATTATACCCTGCTGATTATCGTGGAAACAGTCCAGGAATTGGTCCTTCCTTGGTCGAACACCTATAATAACTCAAAAAAGCCTTTTTCTTAAAAAAAAAAAAAAAAGCCTTTGGGCTCTAGAGTTTTAATTTAATGTATTTCAAGTTTATATTTTCTTTCTTTTTTTTTTTCAGCTTTAATTGAGTTTATTGGTACATTTTAGGGATACAGTAGAGTTACATTCATTGTTGGGATCTTGTACCTCTACATGACAATTCTTGATTCTCATTTTTTCTTTATCAAACAATAAATAATATGAATAAGTCCAAGTATTTCCAGTAAGAGAATTATCTGCCATAAGATGATTTTCTAGATTTGCATCTTTAATGTCCTTGAAAGGCCCATATGGTAAAGGGTTGTTCCCCACCCAGCAGCGTAATAGAGATGGCAGAACTTTTAGGAGAAGGGTCTAGTTGGAGAATGTTAGGTACCTGGGGGCATGATTTTGAAGAGGACAGATGGGTTTCACCTCCTTTTCTCTTTTGCTTCTTCTGTCTTTCATGAGGTAAGCAGCTTTGCTCCCCACAATGCCCTGTGACAGCCTCAAAAGGAATTGGCCAAGAGACCTGGAGCAAAACCAGTGAGACTATTAGCTCAAATATACCTTTCCTATTTTTAATTTCATTGCCTTACACATTTTGTTAGAGTAAGGGAAAACTGACTAACATATCCATGATTTCTCAAAATGTAATTAGCATCATAATATGTATTTATGTATATATTCATAGTATATGATTTGCAGTAGAAATACCAACTACCGCATAAGTAGTCATTTAAAATGTACACAGTCTTAAAAATTATAAATATGATACGATTTATTTTCATAACACCACTGGGTTTTTCTATTAATAACATATGGAAATAAGTTAACTACAAAGTTGTTATTTGTTTTTATTTCACAAAGTTAAGAAAAGCCTTAGAAATTATTTGAGATGTATTTATAATTACAGTTATAAATAATACAACCATAGTGCATGACTGTATAATATTTTCTGTATGTAGGCAACTCCATTGTTAATATATAATTGCTGTAAGAAAGATTATCTTATAATTTACCAATTATGAGATCCTTTTATTTTTAAATTTAGCTACATATCATGAAATATGATAAAGGTCTCCTCCCACTATTGTGACTAGGTAACACAGGTCCTTGCTTTGACAATGAAGGAAATTAATATTAAATTTAAATGCTTTTATAAATGTACAGGCAAAAGATTGGATTGAAAAGTGATACAAGAGGAGGAGTGGCTTTCAATTTGATTAGTAGCTGAGGGGGTAGACTCTGATGAAAGGATTGCACTGGCCCATTCACAAAAGTGTAGAAAACAGTTTTACAGGATGTGGTGATGAGATGGCGTTTGGCCCATTGTTACTGCAGTCTTTTTTTTCATAATTTCAAATGAATTCTTTTGACTTGAGGGAAACTTAGTTCCTTTGTGAGGAAATCTCATGACTCGAGGGTCAACTTTATCCCTGAGAAGGATCGTCATGACTTGTGGCAGTCTCAGTCATGTGCAGCTCCCCATAAATTGGAGGTGGCCCTAGGTTTAAGGCAATGGGGACCTCTAAGCATAGGTATCCTCAGTCTTGAAGGGTGATGTTATAGGCTAGGTACATGTAGAACTAATGCATTTTGTTTCTCCAACCTGTACACAAATGCTCCCTAAATGACCAGCATACCTATATGTAGAGCCAAATAGGATTTGAGTTTTAGCAAATAAAGGTCAAGCATTTTCCTCTTTTAGAAACTTATTGGGCATTTGTAGGCCAAGTATGAATCCTCCTCTTCCTCCTCATCTTCTTCTTCCTCTAGCATAAAACACTCATCTCCCTACCTTAGAAGAAAATACAAATCATGTTTTTAATGTATATCAAACTAATGGGCCAGGAGTTTCTTATTCTCAATTTCTATGGTGATCTCTGTGTCACACCTATTTCTTCTGGACAGACTCTTCTCCCTATTGTCAAGGTGAAGTAAACAAAGGTCTCTTCTGTTTGGTGTTTCAGATCATGTAGGTAGTCATAATTAATCTCCTGCTGTTTACTATTAAAATAACTCAAGGCTCCTCAGAAGTTACTTTTGGAACATGGTAAGGAGCCTGTGAGCATCCTCAGGTGTTTTCTCCACAGCGGGAGTAAGTTTCCAAGGTGGATCATGACTTTGCTGATCACACAGCTCTTCCTCCCAGAGCATTGGAAGC